ATGTGTCTTGTGTGAGGATAGGCTTCTGTCTGGAAAGTCTGCTGTAAAGGCCAAATCATTGGAGTGTTGCAGTTTCTCCCATCTGGGGGCAATGATACCAACGGTAAGGAGATATGGCTAGATAGAGAAAAGAACTGTAGTTATGGCTTGACAGAGAAGGGAGCTTATGGTATGGTCAGTGGAAATAATGAGCTGGAGGAGTGGTTGGTAAGGACAGAGAGCTTGAGGTATTGCAGGAAGCTGTAAATATGTATTGAGACGAAAGGTGAAGTTAAGTGTGAGAACAAATGGTGGCAATGGCATGTGGATATGACAAAATAAGAGGAAATGCCACATAGAGTCACAAGTTTAACAGCCTGTTATATACAGACACTCCACTCATTTTCGTACATACTGACATCCCTGACATACACACATCAAAAATCAGTGCACACACCTCTTTATTCCATACACTGACATTCAAACAAATTATCCTCTTCATTTACAACCAAACACATACTGCAAATCCATACAAATACACATTGGCACACAGTGACACTTCACACAAATACATCTCTATATTCTCTGTGCAAATTGTTAAGTTTTATTCTTGTGGAACTATACACATAAATAATATTAAATTACAGAGTCCCACAGCATTAAAGGACCAGCTTAATGAAGTGGTCTGGGTGCCAGGTCCCTCAAGGAGTAACCTTTTTTTTTTTATAAACATAGCAGTTTCAGGGAAACTGCTATGTTTATAATAGGGTTAATCCAGCCTCTTAAGCCTCTAGTGGCTGTCTCATTGACAGCCGCTAGAGGCGTTTGCGTGCTTCTCACTGTGAAAATCACAGTGAGAAGATGCCAGCGTCCATAGGAAAGCATTATGAATGTTTTCCTATGAGACAGACTGAATGCGCGCGCAGCTCCTGCCGCGCATGCGCATTCAGCCGAAGAGGAGGAAATTGGAAAAAAAAAGGTAAGATTTAACCCTTTCCTCGCCATCCAGCCCGGCGGGAGTATGTTTTCCTGGCACTATAGTGGTCCTTTAAAACACACTGCATGATTAAATGAAATAAGATTTAAAAAAATCTTCCAGTGCCTTTCCAGAGACATAGGTCAGTTTGTGACATTGATTAAGACTAGGGCAGAGGCCATGCTCTATTACAGTTTTATTATTACCTGCAATCTTATGAATTACACTCAACAACACAGTATTTCCTTCCCTTCAGTCTTGCATATAGGATGGAGGAAGAGGTCGCTCTTGGTGTCTAGAGTCCACATTTATTTATTTATTGATTCATTCATTCATTCAATTTTAACTCTCTAACCTGATCTGAATTGCATAGAGATAGAGAGCGCACATTCCTCAGTCTCATGGGCCCATGTTGACTTTTATTTTACTTACTTTTCTATAGGTAGCAATGGAGTTAAGGCTGTGATGAAACCGTGATGGCATTTTACTGTTTGCAGTCATAACAGTTTACAACAAAACAACTTCCAGAGAAAATGATTTAATGGTAGTTGTAAGTTATTCATGAAAATGTAGACATTGATATTAAAGGAACACTATAGGGTCAGTAACAGAAACATGTATTCCTGACCCTATAGTGTTAACACCACCACCTAGCCCCCCTGGGCCCCTCATGCCTCCATAAATATAGTAAAAATCTTACTGTATTCAAGCCAGAAGCTGTAACTCTGCATGCTGTTTGCCTAAAAAAAAAAAAAACAGTCTGCTGACATCATCAGAAGTGGTAGCCTGATCCAATCACAGTGCTTCCCCATAGGAGTGGCTGAGACTGACAAAGAGGCAGATCGGGGCAGAGTTAGCATGATGCAAACACAACCCTGGCCAATCAGCATCAGTGGCGTCTCTAGGATTCATTTTTAGGGGGGCACATGGAGGGCCAGGGACAAAAGTAGGGGGGCACATTTAACCCCGCCCTCGCCGCAGTTTGACCCTGCCCCTGTCGCATGTTAAGCCATGCCCCCGACACAATGTGTTTTGTTTTTTTAATAATCCCTGGTGGAGGATTCATTATTTTCCACCAGGGATTATTAAAAAAAACAAAAAAACACATTACTCTTGATACAGTGCCATAGTTGCCAACATTTGAAAAAAAAATTCCAAGGACATTTTGCAGCACAGCTATCAATTACTGTCTGGGTATAATATCCCTGGACAGTCAGTGCTCTCTGTATAATACAGGGTTGTGTGTATAATAAATTTGGACACTCAGTGCTCCCTGTATAGTGCTGCTCTCTGTATAATACAGGTCTGTTTGTGTATAATATCCCAAGACAGAGAGCAGCACTATACAGGGAGCACTGACTGTCCCGGGATATTATACAGGCACAGGTCTGTATTATACAGAGAGCAACACTATACAGGAAGCACTGACAATCCCCGGGATATTATATACACACAGATTTGTATTATACAGATAGCTGAGCATATACCCCATGTCCCAATCTCTAGACTTCTAGTACCTGTCAACAGCAGCTCCCAGACGCGTGTAACAGGGCTAAAGTGTGTGGCAGCTCACACAGGTGATTCAGCGGTAAAGTGCACTCGCTGGCAGAGCCAAACTGGGAATCCCTGGGAATCCAAAGCAGCCCTGGAAAAAAAATGTGTGCCATTCCTACAAGTCAAAAAAAACCAAAAAAAAAATATATATATATATATATATATATATATAGTACAGTAAGCACACAAGCTAACTGACATGCGCAAATAGGCTTACTGACAGACAAAACTCTCTGACTCACACACAAGCTTACTACAGACACTCACTTGTATAAACAGAAGGCTCACTACAAAGAAGTTCAGGGACACACAAGTTCACTAAAGACAAGCTCACTGACACACACATGCTCACTAAATAGAAGCTCACTGACACACACAAGCAGTACCATTTTAACAGAGTTAAGTGTCCCTGGGCAAAGCAATGCACTGGGGCCCTTCCTACACAACAACTCACAGGAATTTTAATTATTGATAGACTGCGGAGTCCATACACACACAGACTGCTGAGTCCACACACAGACTGCGGAGTCTACACACACACACACACACACACACACACACACACACACATACTGCTGAGTCCATACACACACACACAGACTGCTGAGTCCATACACACACACACAGACTCTGCTGAGTCCGTCCACACACACACAGACTCTGCTGAGTCTGTTCACACACACAGACTGCTGAGTCTATACACACATACACACACACACAGACTGCTGAGTCCATGCACACAC